AAACATGGAACTTACTTTATCAATGGCTGGAAAAACGGGATAGAGAGTAAGAACTTAACTTGTATTACTAAGTAAAACAAATTAACCCAGACAACACGTTGTTCATTAAACACTAATGAATTGTAATAATAGAAAATTAATAAAATACTTTTAAAAAAATGAAGGGGGGGGGAGGAGAATGCTTGGAATGTATTGGGAGTTGGGGGGGAGGTGAGGAATTTATATGAGCCCTTGGCAGCCTGACAAGATCCTGATACTTCAAGGCCGTGCAATGGGAACCTTCCGAAAGAACTGACTGTTTTCCCAAAATAAAAAGAATGTGTTGGATTGGTGGGCAATGGACAATGGGTGGCCCATATGGAGAAAGAGGGAAATTAACTATGCTGCTTTTCGCTTGAAAACCTCAGAGCTAGCTTCACTTCTTCTGTGCTTGTATAGATCTATCAGCAAATTTACACTCTTGGTAAAATAATGTCGCAGGAGTTTCTTTTGCTGCATATGCCAATGGGACAGTTGACAGTTAGGTTTAATAAGTTAAAAAAACCTCCTTCTCTTTATCTTTGTGTATTCTGCAAAGCTGAATACTTTATTTTCTAACTTTTCACCATAGTCATTTATAAGTACGTTGAACAACACAGGGCCTAGAATGCAACCCAGTGGTTTGTCACTCAATGCTTCCTCCAAACTTCAATTATATATATATATATAATATATATATATATATATATCCAAATAGCTAAAAAGCACGAGCACAAGGAAATTTTACAAAACTATAAAAGTTTTAATTCAACAACACACCAAGCTTTCGTTGGCCACTGCCAACATCGTCAGGGTACATTCTAGTCGATGGGGAAGCTCTTTTATAAATGGGACGCCGTCTGCACCCAGCTCCTAGATCGCGTCATGGGTCCTGATCGGCCAATTTGCACTTTGGTCATGGTTTGTATGTCATTGCCTGCTTTTTCTCTACTTTTCTTACATGTGTGTGCATTATTGCCCCTTCCTCCCTCCTCGTGTAGCCGTGACCCAAAGGGATTCTTTGTCATTCTTTGCTCACTCGTGGATCCTGCCTCTTTAAGTTGTTCCCTCTTCTCACATTCCTCCCTGTTAGTGCACTTTCTTCCATCCTCCCCCCCTCTCTGTCCGTCATTTACATTCCCATTGTCATCCTTCCTGCTACAGGGCTTTGCTCTAAGTGTCTCACCTTGGTTCCTATTCTCCAGTCCTTCCCCCTCATCGGAACATTTGTCAATCTCACGGGTACTGTCTCCTCCCAGCTTTGTTTTTCCCCTTTTTTTACTTATATTGGCAATAATTTCTAAGGTGTTATGAGGATCGGCAATTAATCCCCACTGCTTCAACTGGACTGTCGGTACGGGATGTGTCATCGGGCCCGTCTGCTCCGTTATCCCTTCCGGCTGGTTCTTCCCCTCTTCCCCATGTAGGGGGTTTGGCGGAGTTCTCAGTCCGTTGATCTTCTCTTCATTACTGTACATCAGCTTCCTTAATCCTCGGGAGCGTGTGCACACCCCCAAGGTGGGGGGGGTCTTCTAGTCTCTGAATACCTCCCCTTTGTCTATGCCTGGGGGATGTTGTTCCTAATGGAGAACATTTATCGCTCCGTGGTCTACCAGGTCCCCGGGGGTGTCTGCGTGCTTTCGGGGTAGAGACAGGGGTGGTGGGGGTTGTAGAGGTGGTGGTGGTGATGGTGACGGTGGAGGAGTCCCCCGGGTTTTGATTAACTTGTGTTTGTGTGCATATGCGAGGTGTCATTCTTTCTAAGTGCTTCGTGTGGTATAGGGAGGCATCTGGTTTGTTGTGAGTTGGGCCTTTGATGTCAATAAGTTTCCTTGTCTGTTGCAAGTGTCTACCTGCTCTTGTAGTCGGGAGGTTTTCCAGTTGTCGGATATTCTTTTCTTGGGCTTTCCTTGGTTGTTGTGGAGGGGGGTCATCTCTCCCCCCCTAATTTCTCTCTCTGGGGGCGGGGCGGTATGGCACTAGAATGTTTTAATCTGGATGGTCGACCATACATGTCCCATGCCCTCAATGTTACGTGTGCCGGGCACAGGTCTACGTGTCGATTAATGGAATTTCCATCCAAAAGCCAAGCTTCCTTGAGTAGCCGGCCCCCTTTTGTGCTGTCACTGGCAATTACTCGTACATTGTCAAAATCGAACTTGTGTCCGTATTCTGCCATGTGTGTCCAGATTTGGGAGTACTGTTCCCCTCTTTTTACGGCCAGCCTGTGCTCATGGATCCTAGTCTTAACTCTTTTTGAAGTCTCTCCCACGTAATTGCCAGGGCAATCTTTGCACTCAATCTTATAAATGATCCCTGATTTTTCTGCAGTGGGGAGTGGATCCTTAGGTCTCATAATCTTAGTCCGTAATGTTTGGTCAGGTTTGTGCGCCACCCTCACATTGTAAGGTGCCAACAACCTAGCTGTGGCTTCCGACACATTACTAATGTAAGGGAGGGTGACATGGACTATCTGGGGTGATGGTTCCTCCATCAGTGAGCCGTTTAAGGGTCTGGATAGCATACTGTGGCGCTTGATAAATTTCGTAGGGTAGCCATTGCATCTGCAAACTTGGAAAAGGTGTTTCCTTTCCTCTATTCTAGCTCTGGCCGTGTTGCAGTGGGAGTCTATTCTCTTAAAGAGTGTTCTAATACAGCCGGCTTTGTGGGCCACCGGATGGTTACTGTCGTGATGTAAAATCCTGTCAGTGTGCGTGGGTTTACGGTACACCTTAGACCTCAGGGTTCCATCCGGTTGGCGGTGGATCAAGACGTCCAAGAACGCCAACCTGCCCTGTTGTTCTTCCTCCTCCATAAACTGTATATCCACATACACTGAATTGAGGATGCCCACAAAGTCTGCTTTCTGGCTCTTTTTGATGACCACAAATGTGTCATCCACGTAGCGGGCCCAGAATTTGGGGCAATACCGGGTCATTGCTATGTGTTCCAGCTGCTGCAACACGGTGTCCGCTATGATGCTCGAGATCGGGGATCCCATGGGGGTGCCCTTGATCTGCTCAAATGTGGTGCCTTGAAATGTAAAATACATTTAGATTCACAAGGTCTTCAGGTCGGAGGGAGTCCTGTTGCTGTCCTGGGCCCTTTTGTTTAAGGAGGTCTCTTATTACAGTGACAGCTAATTCCTGTGGGATAGAGGTGAAGAGGGAGACGATGTCAAAAGACACCATCACCTCGTCCTCCTCTATCCTTATATCTCCTGCCTTTATTATTTTTATAAGTAAGCTGGCAAACATATCTAACACACCTTCCTCCTATTTTCCGAACAAGAACAACCCTGTGAAATGAGTTGGTCTGAGAGAGAGTGACTGGCCCAGCTGGAACCATTGCCGTATACTCATTGGTTATGATTGCTTTGCCCTCTTCTCTATAGAATCTCTTGGGAGATTTTGTTGTATGCTTCACTGAAGTTAAGCTGCAGTACATGCATTGCATTCTTATGGCCAACTAAACTGGTCACTCTGTCAAAAAAAAGGTGAGTGGGTTGGATTGACATGATTTATGCCTGATAAACCCATGCTTGCTCCTACAAGCAATGGATCTTTCCTAAATGCTCATGGACTGATTTTATGAGTTTTGCCCAATAGTGATATTAAAGCTGATTTGTCTACAGCTTTTCTGGTTATCCTTTTAAAATATTGGAACATCATTCCATCTCTGATCTTCTTGCATTACCTTCATCTTTGATGAAACCTCAAAGGTCATAGAAAAGGGTTTTGAGATGATATCTGCATGTTTCTGCAAAACTCTTAGCTTTAATCAATCTGGTCCTGAAGAATTAAACTCATCCATATAGCCAGGTGTTCCCTAACCTCTTTAATTACTTTGGGTTGCTATTCCTACCTTTTATCAGTTGGTTAAGCTTAAGTCTATTACAAGTTGAGCACTTATTCAATAAATAAACCAACAATTCCTATTGTTTTCCTTGCATATATCCTTTTGTGCTTCTGTTTTGGGACCTGCCATTCTGCTGGGGGGGGGGAGGTGGGATATTTGCTTGCAGTTGGGATAACTTTTGCTTTTTACTTTCTCTCTCCCACCTCTATCCACTTGAGAAAGGAATGTGTCTCCCTTATCAGGGAGACGGCTAGAGAGAAACGAAACTGGAGAAGACCTTGAGATGTGCGTCAACTGTGCCAGTTACCCGCACATCGTTGCCACCTGTGGATTGGCTGGATTTCAAATGGACATTATGACTTTGGTGGGAGGAGGAATATTGCTGGTTTAACTATACCATTTAAGCGGGATTTTCCCCAGATCTCGCTTTGACTTCCCTACTGTCACTAACCCTTAATAAAAGTTTCCTTTTGAGACAATGTTTGTTTCAAGAGTTCTACTTTCTTGGGTGGTTAGCTGAGGTGGGTCCTCATAGTCATACTTATCACTTGAAAGTGAAGAACTAATTCTGGACCCATTCCATATTAAGAATCACAAAAAGAAAACATTTCTAAATGGCTCTGAAAATGCAGTGTAGATTATATTAGAATTCATTGAGGAAGGAAATGAACCTAGCTAGTCTGATATTTTGCATTTCTCTAGACTTAGTACCCATAGAAGTTACATTGGAGGATGAATTTGCTATGATTGCATTTAGTAAATACCATCAGCACAATATTGAGATGCAGTGATGATTAAACTATGTCCTATCTAAGCAAGTCACTGCATCTGTCTTTATAAACCAAGGCAGACAGTGGCAGCAGCTGAGAAGCAGGAAAAGTATGTGACTCTAGATATAGTTTTGTTTGTTGGATATGAGTAAACAGGTTGTATTTATTTTCCCATTGTTAACAATGTGACTTGCCATGCAATACCATCAATAGAATAAATATTTCTTTTACAAGAATTGTGTCATAAAATATTCTATTGACATTGGTTTAACAATTCATCAGCAAAGGATAACTGGCAGAAAGGGAAAAATTACAGCATTGGTAACTTTGATCATCTCTCGCTTGTTGTCTTACCATGTGACGGTGTCTGGTTTGCAGCGCTTAATAGCAGGTGGTTATAATTTTGCTCTTGGTCATCTGAAATTCAATAAAAAGAAAATGCCTTTTAAGGAGCAGCTTACGGAGGCTCAACAGAGCTGCAGGTAATAATTATATCTCACATTATTCATGGGAAATTTCTGCATGATTAAGGAGAAGAAAATGCTTAACAAAGGGGAAGTGTCTTTCATGTTGGCCTCTCAACATTTCAATTGCTAGAGAAACATATTAATGAATAACAACACCCATTGTGCCGAGACTACAAATTGGATATTCAGCAAAGGAAGAAATATATTCAGAGGCAATTGTGACACAAATTTTTGGCACTGAGCTTATAAGCCAGTTTGTTTTAGGGCTTTTTAAACTCAGGTTCTGGGTATGAAAAAATCTATTCTTGGGATCCCATGCACACATTAGGAGAGAGAAACAGGGTTGTGCTCTTCAGACTGCCCGTTCTGTAAGTGCCATCCCTGAGGACAGATCTCACAAAGAGTGAATGCTTAGCAGGGAGCACAAAGGAGCCTCAGTGTATTTCCCTTTAGATAGGTGTGTTCAATACATGGATATTGGGTCAAAGCTAGCAGCAAAGGCATGTTCCTATTCCAACAAGTTAGTAGGATGGCTGAGTCATCTGACTGTTTTTCAGGATAAAGTTCTAGTGACAGCAGAGGCTTAATATGTGGATCCAGCTTTTTCTCTGAGGTGCTACCTCCTGATCAGACACAGCCAATACTGCAAATTCCTTGGCACCTCTCACTTTTGAAAATCCAACAAGAGTTGAACACAGTGCAACCCTTTCAGGAATAAATTGAATTCCATTCCCTAACAGACTTTCTAGTGACCAACAGCAAATTCCTCCTACTGGGATTCAATCTTACCTTTATCTGCACGTGGCTAAATCTAGATAGTGTTTAAGAGTATTGGCGTATGGTGCATCATATTAAGGTCTCAGATGGCCTCTTCCAGCCATTTTATGTATTAAAAAAGATAGAGGATGGATAGACTCTTTTGATAAATGACAATGATGATGATGATGATGATGATAACAACAACAACAACAACAATAATAATAATAGGTGCCTTGGGTGCAATCTCAAAACAACTGGAGCACCACTTGAACACCATTGGCACTGACAAATTCGCCATTAGTTAATTGCAAAAGGCGGCCTTACTAGGAACTGCTTCCATCCTGTGACGATATCTGTAATACCATCAAACAACCACATCTGCCTATCCCAGGTCCTTGGGAAGGACTCGATAGGTAGAGAAAAATGCCAAACCCAGTCTGAACATCTGGCTGACTGTGCGATGATCAATAACAACAACAACAACAACAACAACAACAACAACAATAATAATAATAATAATAATAATAATAATAATAATAATAATAATAATAATATGGAAGAGACCTTGGAGGTCATCTAGTCCAACCCCCTGCTCAGGCAGGAAACCTTATACCATTTCAGACAAATGGCTGTCCAGTCTCTTCTTAAAAACGTTCAGTATTGGAGCAGTCACCGCTTCTGGAGGCAGGTTGTTCCACTGCCTAATTGTGCTAACTGTCAGAAAATTTCTCCTTAGTTCTACGTTGCTTCCCTCTTTGGTTAGTTTCCATCCATTGCTTCTTATCCTGCCTTCAGGTGCTTTAGAGAATAGCTTGATTCCCTCTTCTTTGTGGCAACCCCTGAGATATTGGAACACTGCTATCATGTTACCCCTTGTCCTTCTATTCATTAGACTAGACATACCCAATTCCAGCAACCGTTCTTTATATGTTTTAGCCTCCAGTCCCCTGATCATCTTTGTTGCTCTTCTCTGTACTCTTTCTAGAGTCTCAACATCTTTTTTACATTGTGGTGACCAAAACTGGATGCAGTATTCCAAGTGTGGCCTTATCATGGCATTGTAAAGTGGTATTAACACTTCACATGATCTTGATTCTATCCCTCTGTTAATGCAGCCTAGCACTGTGTTGGCTTTTTTGGCAGCTGCAGCATATTGCTAGCTCATATTTAAGTGATTGTCCACTAGGACTCTGAGATCGCTCTCACAGTTGCTACTATTGAGCAAGGTACCACCTATACTATACCTGTGCATTTGGTTTTTCTTGCCTAAATGTAGAACCTTACTTTTTCACCATTGAATTTCATTTTGTTAGATATTGCCCAATGTTCAAGTCTGTCAAGATATTTCTGTATCTTAAGCCTATCTTCTGGAGTGTTGGCTATTCCTGCCAGCTTAGTATTGTCTGCAAATTTGATGAATTCCCCATCTATCCCCTCATCCAAATCATCGATGAAGATGTTGAAAAGCACTGGGCCCAGAAGCGACCCCTGGGGCACCCCACTACACACTTCCCTGCATGCAGATGCAGTTCCATTGAGGACTACATGCTGAGTATGGCCGATCAGCCAGCTATGAATCCATCTGGTGATCATGCTGTCTAACTCACATTTTTCTATCTTATCAAGTAGTAGGTTGTGGTCTACTTTATCAAATACCTTACTGAAGTCCAAGTAAATTATATCCACAGCATTCCTCTGGTCCACTAATTTTGTCACCTGGTCAAAGAATGCAATAAGATTTGTCTGGCATGATATGTTTTTGACAAACCCATGTTGGCTTTTGGTAATGACTTTGTTGACCTCTAGGTGTTTGCTGATTTGTTGCTTGATTATCTTTTCCAAGATCTTCCCAGGTATTGAGGTCAGGCTAATAGGTCTGTAGTTTCCTGGATCCATTTTTTTCCCTTTTTTGAGGATGGGAACTACATCAGCTCTTTTCCAGTCCTCTGGTAGTTCCCCTGTGCTCCAGGATCTCTGAAAAATATAGTTCAGTGGTTCAGAGATCACATTTGCTAGTTCCTTGAGAACCTTGTGGTGTAATCCATCTGGTCCTGGCGATTTGAACTCGTCTAGGGCCACATCATAGGTCTGTAGTTTCCTGGATCCATTTTTTTTCTTTTTGTGAAGATGGAAACTACATCAGCTCTTTTCCAGTCCTCTGGTAGTTTCCCAGTGCTCCAGGATCTTTGAAAGATATAGTTCAATGGTTCTGAGATCACATCTGCCAGTTCCTTCAGAACCTTGGGGTGTAATCCATTTGGTCCTGGTGATTTGAACTCGTCTAGACTGGACAGGTGCTCACTCACCATTTTCTTGCCTATCTTAACTTGTCTTTCTAATCTGTTTTTTACGGTACTGTTTTTGATAGGTTGGATTGTTTTTTCCCTTTGTGTAAATATGGATGCAAAAAACGAATTGAGTAGTTCTGCTTTCTCCCTGTTGCTTGTCACCTTCTTGCCATTTTCTCCCACTAGTGGACCAATTATTTCCTTAACTTTTTTCTTGTTTTTTACAAGAAAAACCTCAGTTCCCCAACATTATCTTCTGAACCTGATCTGAAGGCTGAAGCACATATCAATATGGTCATTGAGGACCTCCTGAATATCCATAGGAAGAATTAGGTATCTTGCCTTTGGAACTGCCACAAATGGATGGGAGGAAAACAGCTATCTAAACCAAACAATTTCATTATTTTCATAAATCTTTTTACTATTTAATTGGTACACAGAGTTCTATCGTATCTGATACTGCAGATAATAGATATTTTAAAAAGTAGTCATTGGTAGCCATTATTCTTCATGAGATTGAGGAATAATCTCACATAAATCTGTCCATATTAGTGCCCCTCATTACATCATGTAATAGCAAACAACACAACTTACACAATGGGCTATGTAAAGATCTGTTACCTGTCCTATTATCTCCCACTACTTGATTAAGCAAGAATAGAATGGGGCAATTGGAGCATATTTTCCATCATTGTATGAACTCTAGCAAAATCTTTTCTTAGTTGCCTTTCTCTCTAAATCAATATCTCCCAGTGTTCTAATTTATTTGTTTAAACATTTATAAACCATGGCCTACAGTATCTGTCTCAAGGCAATGCACAAAATACAGCAATTTGTCTTCAAAGGTGAAATGTTTCCACCTCTTACTCATATTGATGTGTATTTGCCCCTTTATTGCTCATTGCCCTAGGGCAGAATGACCAGTTGTGCATTTAACCACCCTAAATTATTTAGCAAGATCAGCAATTCTAGCCATGGGTGATGAAGCGGTTCTGGATATTCACAAAAAAATCAGGACCCAACTAATATTACAAAGGAGATCTATGATGATTCTCCCATTCGTTTTTTTCTTCCAGAAACCAGATCTGGATGCAGGCCATGGATTTGGGGAGAGAGGAGAATTCTTATGCTCTCTATCATACACTGCAGCTTTTTCCTCCAAAGTTGTTTTAAGGAAAAGAAAGTTGATCTCCTATGAGCCATTTGTTTGAGTCTAAATTCCAATCCAGTTTAGCTTAATACTGCTTTGGGAAACTGTAATTTCTATTAAGCTAATTGGTAGGTATTTGGTTCTATGCAGCACTTCCCATTCAAAGGGCCATCCAAGTAGCTGCTTTAATGTGCTTTCCTCCAGTCCCTGAGTTGGCCCAAAGCATGTTAGCATAAATTTGCTCTGTCTACATACAGTAGGTGGTCTGCATGGTGCCTCATTAATGAGCCAGTGAGTTGTAACATTCTAACAGTTTTCTATGGGGAAAGTTATTGCAGCAATTAGTGGATTTTCCTGCTGGTAGGAAAAACATCCATCAACTATTTCCCCTAATTTGTATGTGTAGAAGCTGGGTGAGGAAGTGAGTTTAGATGTTGACTGGTATAGTAGGTTCATCTACCTTTTAATACCTCATCTGCAGGGTGAGTGTAAGTTTACTATTTTAGCGGGAAGTCTCTACCACCCTGCTGATCAGCTACTGAAATATGGCAGGTGTGATGATGTAATTGTGTTCATGTAAATCTTAGGAAGAGATAAAAAATGGGAATGGGAGGTCATCATCATCAGTGTAGTTAATTGTGATAAACTTTCCCTACTATCACATCCTGAAGTACACAGACAAGTTCTACCTAAACATGGCTAATCATATGGGTTGAATCATTGCCACTGACTGTATCTTCTGACT